CCCACGCATGAGTCCCCGGCAGCCCAGGGACAGGCAGAAGCAGGTCTGGTTGGAGCCTGCCCCAGAAAGACAGAGAAGGAGGGGGGCGCTCCGTGCACAGCGATCAGGAAGGCGAGACCAGGCCTCCCGGCAGAGTCTCCGGGAAGCAGGCAGGGAGCGTCCAGCCCGGCTGCCCCCTCTTCCCTTTCTGCCCCTCCTGGGAGGATGTCCAGAGGTTCCTCCTGCCCAACAACACATTTCTGTTTCCGTCAGCGCAGGTGGTCCCTGCGTACCATGACGCAGCTGAGACAGACGTGTCTCTCTTCCCACTCGGAGCTGAGAAAACAGGCTGGCCAGCCAGGCTCCAGGCCACTATTGGTGCAAGGCCGGGCCGGGCCTGGCCTGGGTCCACCTATGGGACAGCCCAGGCAGGCCGGCTCCCGGCCTGTTACAGCCCCTCAGGCCCTCGGCTGCCTCAGGCAGGGTGCCGACACCGACTTCCACCAATGTGAACGGAACCCTGGCCACAGGCCACGTGCCAGAACAAACCCTGGATGTGGGTGGGCGTGTCCACTCTTAGGCCAACTGGCCTGTGAAGACAGCAGTCATCACCTCCAGAATAGGCCCTGGCATCCACTCACTCACCCACGGCCCACAGAGGGAGGGTGGCAGAGCCCGTGGCTGACTCACGGCAGCTCTTGCTGCCACTTGGCTACGAGGACAGCTGGTGTCCTGGGCAAGGGCCTTCTGGCCGCCCAGCGTAGAGGCCAGGGTAGCCATCGCCTCACGGCCTCCTTCTTCCTGATGGCTGTTTGGAGGCTGCAGTGAGTGGGGCTGGCACATTGGATCTCAGGAACCAAGAAGCTGGCAGGGCCATGCCACTGCCATCATGGGATCTGTGGCCTCATAGCATGCCACTAACATCATGGGATCTGTGGCCTTGTAACATGCCACTATCATCATGAGATCTGTGGCCTCACAGCACACCACTGCCACCATGTCACCCGTGGCCGCACAACACACCACTGCCATTGTGGGATCTGTGGCCGCGCGGCAGGTAGTCTCTGAGAATCAGAAGTGAGGGGGCGCCCGGAGCAGCGCTGGGCTCTGGGAGCCAGGGCCAAGGACAGGAAGCCAGAAATCCTCGAGCACCTTCCAGAAAGTTCCCAACACACGGCAGCAGGTGCTCCACATGCCCTCACACGCCGAGCCCAGGTGAACAAGCCAATGTCCATGCTGCTTTGGAAGTCCTAAGCCACGCACCCAGCACACTGGTGGCTTTTAAAAACATGTGCATTTAATTAATGTGGTTATTGTATCTGTTTTGTTATCGTTTACTATTAAAACAAGATTGCATGTTTAAATGTAACTTCACAGTCAACGCTTTTACACTGCAGGTATATAAATCTGCCCCTAATAATTTTCATATGAGTTAATAGTTAAGGTAGTGTAATTAAGTATTTAAATAGCTTTTAAAATAGTCAAACGTTTCACACAACAAATGGGCCCTTGTTTACAAAATAAGCTGGCTCTCTCCTGCTGTAATCTGGAGGCTTCACAATCACCAGCGCTTGGGGCCCTAGGCTGTCCGCTGGCCCCAGCCTCCCTGTCCTGTGGGGCGTGGAGCCTTCCTCCATGCCTTTCTCATCAGGTGCACTCCGGGCGACCCACCCATCCCCAGCGCCAGCGCCCATGACCCCAAGCCGGCCTGCCCCGAGCAAATCCGTTACTGCTCCCGCGAGCCAAGGACGCTGTTACCTGCCGCCAAGAACAAGGGGTCAGCCCCGGCCACAGCGGGAGTCGTGGCCTTAGCTCTCGTTCGTGTATTTCCCAGGCACCCGACACTCGGCAAGGTCAGGTGTCCCGTCACCATCTGCAACCAGACCTGGTGTCACCCAGCGCTTGAGTCCCTGGGCTGCTGCCCAGGACGCTCGAGAGCTAGAAGACGCCCGAGCTCATGGGAGGAGCTGCAGCCCCATCCCCGGGACCTGCAGACACAGCGGACGTGGCCAGGTCAGCCGTGTGACTCTGGTCTCTTCTCTCCTTCAAACAGTCTGAACGAAGGCAGCACCCGCCTCCGCTCGGCCATCCCCCCCGCAAGCCGTTTCCGCCCTGCTGCCCCCGCACTCCCCCTTTCTCCAGAGTCCCCCCGCGTCACTTGCGCCCTGGGTCTGGTGGCTTCTAGGAGGAGAGGCTTTCAGAACGGGGTTCACACCCCTCCGTCCCTCACAGCCACTGCCACAGGCTGAACACGGTGTCCCCCTCAAAATCCACATAAAATCCTCACCCCAAGGTGAAGGTGTGGGGAACCTGGGGGCCCCGGGGGCAGAGCCCCTAGGACTGGGATCGGTGCCCTTACGAAAGAGGCCAAGGAGACAGCGCGCCCCTTCCCCCACGCGAGGACACAGCCAGAGGAGAAGGGCTGTCTGTAACCTTGGCCTGGGACTTCACACCTCCAGAGCTGAGAGTAGCGAATGTCTGTTGTCTACCAGCCGACCAGTCTACGGAGTTCCATCACCACAGCCCACACAGACTAAGATGGTCGCTTCAGCCTGACACTCTTCTGACCCTTGGCTTCCCCACCTGTAAAAATCGGCAAAAATGACACAGTGCGGACGTGACAGGGTTGGGAAAAGACACTGGGGGCATTTCGGAAGGGCACCGGCTCTCAGGAAGGGCCCCAGAAATGCTCACTCCCCTCTGCCTGACCCCTTTTTCCTGCCACAAAAGAGCTCTGGCCACCAGCTGACGCCACAGGAGGCCCAGGGAGCAAGTCCTGCCCCTAGCCTACAGGCTGGCTGATGACTGGGCTGAGGCGGGACAAGCCACCCTCTGCTGGCGACACCCTTCTCTGTCCCCCAGCCACTGGCAGACAAAGCCTGCCCTGAGGGCTGCTTGGACAGGGCGCCCTAGGTCACCCTTCCCTGCGCAAATGCCACATACTACCCATGTGCCCCTGATGCTCTGACACCCGGGTCCCGTCCACCCGGGAGGGACAGCCGCTCCCAGAGCCAGGCAGACCCTAGAGACAGAACAGGACTCGCCTGCATGTGTACCTGTCATCTGCAATCTAGAATCTTCTCCGGGGGCCCCCATGCCCGGCCCCAGGAAGGGTCCCTGCCCCAGTTGCCTGGGGCCATGTCCTCAACAACTCAGCATAGTCCTGATGGTCCAGGGCCACTGGGGTGACTCAAACCAGCCAGCCCTAACCCTGCAAGCCCGGCCTCGCCTGCTCCGTGCCCATGAAGGCTCCTGCCCACATCTTCCCCGGGCCCCTGCCTCCTCAGACCCCATAGCTCTGCAGGACATCCCGTGCGTGTCTCCTGTTCCTAGCCAGCTCTTCAGTGCTGGACGTGGTGGTTCATGCCTATAATTCCAGCACTTAGGGAGGCCGAGGTGAGAGGACTGCCTGAGACCAGGGGCTCGAGACCAGCCCACGCAAAATGGCAAGACCTTGTCTCTACAATAAAATCAAATATTAGCCAGGTGTGGTGGCGCACACCTGTGGTTCCTGCTACTTGGAAGGCTGAGGCGGAAGGACCGCCTGAGCCCAGCGGATAGAGGCTGCAGTGGCCATGAGCGTGTCATTGCACTCCAGCCTGGGCAACAGAGGGAGACTCCGGCTCAAAAAATAAACAAACAAATAAATAAAACCATTTCATGACGGTCATTTCCAGCCACACGTCTCACCACCACAGACTGGAGCAAGCCCCAGGAACCTGGAACCACTTCAGGCAGCCACTTTGCCAACACACCAACACGTCCCATGCCCGGGCCGCGTCCTCGGTCTTCCCCTCTGGGAAACGGAGGTGACGGTCCCCGCTTCCTTCCCCGCCTGCCTGGGCTTTGCCTTGCAGGCCTTCCCTGAGATGAAGACTGAGGTGCTGGTCTGAACGTCCTGTTGGCCCAGAATCCCCAGGCGGAGATCGGACCCGCGTGACGGTGCCCAGGGTCTGGTCTGGGTCGAGATGGCGCCACTCGAGAACAGGCGTGGCCTCTCCAGACGAGCCTTGAGAACCGTCTGCCCTCCCCTGCCGGAGGACGCAGCTGGACGGGCCTCGGCAGACGCCGGATCCCAGAGCGCAGTGACCTTGGACTCCAGCCTCCAGGGCTGTGAGACACACACCGCGGCCGGTTCTGAATTACCCAGTCTCAGCGTTTTGCTGCAGCAGCAGGACAGAGGCGGAAAGGGAGATTCGCGAACCCCGCCCAAAAAAGCGGCCATTCTGCTCCTGACAGGACGGGGACTGCCCTCTGGAGGGGCCACGGAAGTCCCTGGGGGCTGGAGACCCCTACGCCACAGCAGAGCGACACCGGGGCGTTTTGTCCAATGGCACGGGGAGACGCTCGCGTGAGAACGCTCCGCGGCTCATGCCTGCAATCCCAGCACCCTGGGAGGCCGTGGCGTGAGCACGGCTTAAGCCCAGGAGTTCAAGACCAGCCTGGGCCGCAGAGGGAGACCTCATCGCTACAGAAAGAAATTAGAAACTCAGCCAGGCATGGTGATGAGGGCCTCAGTCCCAGCTATGCAGGAGGCCGAGGTGGAAGGATCCCCTGAGCCCAGGAGGCTGAGACTGCGGTGAGCTGTGATCATGCCACGGCACTCCAGCCTGGGCGGCAGAGTGAGGCCCGACTCAAATAATAATGGCAACAATGATAATGAAATAAAAATGCAAGCTGCAGAACTAGGATCTCCCAGAATCGCACACAGCTGGGAAAAGGAAGAACTGTATCCACACGTGAGTAGGGCCTCCTCAGAGTGACGGCATTACAGTGGTTTTAAAATACTTTTCTGTCTTTTCATAAGTTTTCTGCAATGGGGTTATGAACCTTTTATGGTGGGAAATCTCGAGAAAATTCCCTTTTAAGTCCTGGCCCCTCCTCCAAAGGCCTCGAGCCCCCAGAAGGTGGAGAGCTGGACTTCCCAGGCTCCGGAGCCTGCCCGTAATTATCCCTCTCACTTCTGGAACCACTCTCCCTACCCGCTTCAAGGGGGGGAAACTGGTGTCACACAGGGGCACCTCACAGACACAACCAGCCCGGGGCTGTTCCCTCTGAAGTCGCCTGGCTCCCGCAGCCACGTCTGACGCTGGTACCAGGCAGCAGCTGCCCAGCACGCGCCTGCCCGCAGCCTGTCCCTCTGCCAAGTGGGAGGGGGAAGGCCTAAGAGAGGCGACCGTGGGGGCTGGTACGTGGGCATGCCGTCCCCTCCTCCCACTGGGCTCTGTTGTTCCCACCTGCCCTCCCTAAGCTCCCTTGGTGGCCCGGTCCCCCTGGCACTTTCCCTGGGGCCCGCGATCCTCTGGGTCCTGGCGCCCACCGGCTGGTCCAGGTGAGGTCATGCTTTGGGCCCTGTAACAACGCCCCCATCCCAGAGGCTCCCGGTTCCTAGAGAACAGGGAAGCCTCGTGTCTCGCCCGGTCGGCCTCCACCAGCCCTGGGAGCAGGGAGGCTGCCCCAGCTCAGAACGCTGGACCCCTGTCCTCTGTCGGGCCTGGTGCAGGGTCTCAGAGACCACAGGGTAGTTTCCTGATGCCACGCTGGGTAGAGGCAATGCCCACCCAGAAGGCTCTCGGTGCCAAGTAGGAAAAAGTGCCTTTTCTCCAGGTAAATGAAGCCGCACGCCGATGACGCGGCTGGCTTAGGAGGGAAGCTGGATTTCAGCCCCACCTGACTCTTTGGCGCGGATCCTTGCGCAGTGCCCGCCCTGCACCACTGTGTGTGGTCGCCTGATAACAGATCCTTTGACTTTGTCTCCTTTAATCCTCCCAACAGCACTGTGAGGCAGGCCTTGCTCCGCCACGGAACACTCGCCCAAGGTCATTTCGCCAGAGAACAGAACTATGGGAAATCTCAGGACAGTGGGAGGCAGAACCAGCTCCCAAGCACTGCCCTCACCCTCCCTGGCAGACAGCCGTAGGTCTGCGGGGTCTTCTCAGGAAGCAGCCCCAGCCCCGGCCCCCCCAGCCCCCCCTCAGACCTCAGTGCTCTTTCTAGAGTCACAGCAGCTGCCGTCCTGAGACAGGACCACCCTCGAGCAAACATGCAGATGCCAGAGACTCAAAACTGTAGCCTGGCATCTCCCAGGACCCGAGAGTCTTCTCCAGGGCCAGACGGAGGTGCAAAGGGCTCAGCTGTCCACTGCTGGTCGCTGCTGCTGGGGGATGCTGCTGCAGCCGCAGGGAGTCTGGCTTGGACCCTGGCCCTGCCGGCAGCCTCAGACGTCCCCCTGCCCTCTGGGCCGCAGTCCCCTCCTCCGTCCCCAGGAGTCACGGGAGCCATCTGGTGGGGGGCTGGAGAGTCTGCTGTGAAGCTCAGGTGTGCGCTCCACACCCTGGAGGTCCTTCCTGGCTGGGGGGGGGGGCTGAGACTCGCTCCTCCCCCCACCCGGCACCAGCGTCCAGCATGTTCCCGCAAGCATGCAAATGCGGTGACCTCGCATTCCAGGCCAGGTCAGGGAGCCCCGAAAAGCTTGCCTCTGTGAGACTGAGCTCAACAACCGGGAACGCCGCTGGGTGCCTACGCGAGCACTGGTTGGTGGCACCCCCAGCTGCCCAAGCCAGGAGCCGCTCCCTGTGGCCTCCGCCTCCTCCATTGGGTGGAACTCCCTTCGCTGCCTTCCCGGCCCTGCCCACACACACACGTCAAGGCGGCCCAGGTCACTCCCGCCACCAGCGGCCTCCCTGCCTCCCTCCTCTGTGCCTGCAGCCCCAGGGAACCTGTCCAGCCCAGCCCTCACTACGCAGATTCACACCAACTACTCCACAGTTGCCTTGTCCCCTCTGGCGGCGGGGAGGGCCCCCCTCTCTCACGCACAGAAGATGCCTGGGCCTCCCGGCTCTGTGCAGCAGCTGCTTTGGGCCAAGCTCAGAGAGGAGCCCACCCTGGCGCCCTGGGACAGAGGATGATCAGCAGCTCCTCTGCCCTCGCGCCACGCAGCCACGGGCTCCACAGGAAACGCCGGATGGGGGGAGGGTGCCTGGAAGGGCAGCGAGAGGACCGCGAGTCTGCACGGGGCAGGGGAGGGGACGGCGTCCCATCGGAGGCAGCAGCGAGAAATCCGAACACCCTGAGACGCCGATGGCGCCGAGGCCGGGCAGGAGCCGGTGGGGGGAGAGGGGTGGGCAGAGCCAGGTCAGGCCAGGCCCGTGGGCCACCCCGCACCACGAAGGCCTGATGCAAAAGTCCACTCTGTGGAGGGCCGTGACTCATGCCCTCATCCCCGCACTCTGGGAGGCTAAGGCAGGAGGATCGCTCAAGGCCAGGAGTCCAAGACCAGCCTGGACAACACAGCGAGATCCCCTATATCTACAAAAAATAAAAAACAAATGATTTTTAAGACTTGGCCAGGCACGGTGGCTCATGCCTATAATCCCAGCACTTTGGGAGGCCAAGGTGGGAGGATTGTTTGAGCCCAGGAGTTCGAGACCAGCCTGGGCAACATAGCAAGACTCTGCTTCCTTCAACAGATTGGAAGGAAAGCAATTCTCTTCTCTAAAGAAAATTTAAAACATTAGCCAGGCGTGGTGGTACGCACCTGTAGTCCCAGCTACTTGGGAGGCTGAGGAGGGAGGATCACCGGAGCCCAGGAGGTCAGGGCTGCGGTGAGCCGTGATCTACCACTGCACTCCAGCCTGGATGACAGAATGAGACCCTGACTAAAAACATTGAGACTTGGTAGCTCAGCCTGTAATCCCGCGCCTTTGGGAGGCTGAGGTGGGTGGATTGCCTAAGCCCGCGGGTTCGAGACCCGTCTGGGCAGCAAGACCTCATCTCTACAATAAATCAAAAAATCAGCTGGGAGTGGTAGCACACGCCTGTAATTCCAGCTACTTGGAAGGCTGAGGCGGCAGGATCGCCGGAGCCCAGCAGGTCGAGGCTGCGGTGGCTGGGAGCGGCTATTGCACTCCAGTCTGGGCGACAGAGTGAGACTCCAACTCAAAAAAAACAAAACAAAACAAAACAAAAAACAAAAAACATTGAGACTTGACCTTAGAACTGACCCAGAAGAATTGGGGGTGTGTCACGACACTTATTCTGTGACGGAGAGAGTTCTTGGCCTAACGGCAGCTCCCAGAGAAGAAACACAGCCTGCTGGCGTCCTGCTACACGCACCTGGATTCCAAAACCAAACTGGCAGAGGCCAGGGGCCTCCGACTCCGACGGAGGCCAGTGGACGAGCGAGAAGGGCTGACCTGGTCGGGGGGCGGGGGCGAGGGGAGGAAGGATGTGGAAGAACGAGGGGAAAATAGGAAGGAGGGGCAGACCAGACCGGGCAGGATGATGGGAGAGAGGAGCACGGGGCGGGGGCGGGGGACTGGAGACACACTGTGGAAGGAGGGAGGAAGGCGAGTCCTACGTGGCCAGAAGCAGCTTCCAGGTCTGCCCAGCTCGCGATCAGCATCGTCCAGCCGAAGCCTCCGGAGGAGCCCAGCATCCCCACAGGGAGGCGGCCCTCGCTCCAGCCCAGAGGGAGGGAGGTCGCAGCAGCCCTTGCACACGACCACGTGGGGAGGGAGGTCGCAGCAGGCCGGCCATCTGAGGGGTAACCGTGGACCCACCCCGGGACATCCAGGGCTGGGGGCCGCTGCGGGCTCCTGCTACGCTCCTGCTACGCTCCTGGGGAGACACTGGGTCCCGAAGGCCAGCCCCAGACCCTCAGGCCCGGGCCATGGTGCGGCCACCCACAGCCTCCAGCCCAGGCTACGGTGTAGCCGCCTCACAGCCTCAGGCCCAGGCCATGGCGTGGCCACTTCACTCCCTGAGGTCCAGGCCATGGTGCGGACACCCACACCCTCAGGTCCATCTGTGGACAGCCACCCAACTGGCTCCTGACCCAGAGCCACATCTGTGCTTTCTCCACATGTTGAATGAAAACAGGAGTCTTGGGGGTCCCTGGAACCCCATGGCCTCCCTGCTGCAGGTCCATGTAATGTTGGTGTCAAAATCGTCAGCCACGAAAACCCAGGAGGCGGATCTGAGCGCTGCCCCTGACTCCGAAGAACAAAAATGGAGGCACCAACTGCTCACTCGGCCCCAGGGGCCCCGGTTGGCGGGTTCCCACCACACTCGTTCCAGGGAGCACGCCCCGCCTCGTCCCCAGAAACGCCCACAGTGAGTCCTGCAGGGTGTCCCCGAACACTCCACTGTCACCCACTCAGTGAGCATCACTGCAGTCCCGACACCCACTTCAGCTCCACTCAGGACACGGGTGCAAGGAGCAGCCATGGATGACACGGATGTCACGTCTCAGGGCCTCTGGATGGGGCAGCCCTGCCAGCCACGGGCAATCTCACTGGCAGGCACAGCAGGCAGACCAGGCGGCAGGCTCGGAGGTCGAGGAACGGCGGACGCCAGCCCTGGGGCTGCCCACACACACCTGCATACACACACACACACACACACACACACACACACCCCTACACACATACCCCCCCACACACTCACCTGCACACACACACACACACCCTTACACACCTCCTATACACACCCCTACACTCACACCCCATACATACACACCCCCCTGCGCACAGTTGCCAGCTGATACTGACATCCCTGCAGTGAGGCCGAGCTCTTGCCCCAGCCCCAGACGGAGGCCTGAGGCCTGAGGCCAAGACTCCCACCCCCTCCCGACAGGAGGGCCGACAGCTCCTGCCTCTCGCCCCGCAAACTCACCCACCCTAAGCTAAGGGGGACCGGCAGGGACCCAAGCAGGCAGGCTGTGAGCTCCGAAACAAGCCTGCTTCTTCCCGGGGGCCCAGCGGGGCGGCGGGGCCGGCCCTCAGGGTCCCCAGGGCAACCCCCTTCCCTGGCCCCATCGGAGTCTGTACCTGGAGCTGGAGTCACTGCCGCTCTGCACCGCCGGGTCTTCCGTGACGTTAGACAGCCCCGTCCAGTTGGGCAGCTGGTCACCACTCTGCCAGCCAAACTGGAGGCTTCTGGCGAGAGAATGAGGCAGTCGGTGCCCACGTCACAGGCGGGTCAGGCCTGTCTGCCGGGAGCCACGGCCTGCCGCGGTCACAGCCCACAGCGACCACAAGAGAGGCTGGTCATGCCCACAGCCCTACACAGCGTCCTTGTCTGTCTCCATCCGTCCCTCCTTCCGCCTACCGGCAGGGCTGAAACCACACAAGCCACCCGCAGGGAAACTGAGGTAAGAGAGCTCATCCGGGCCCGTCCCCCGATTCCCACCTGCAGAGACCCCACCCAGGGAAGCATGCCTGCTCAGAGACCAGACACTCCTCGGAGCTCTTCATGAAGCCGAGTTCCCTAGCACACCTGGTTTAGGACAATGGGCTGGGCGTGGTGGCTCGTGCCTGTCATCCCAGCTCTTTGGACGGCCGAGGCATGAGGATTGCCTGAGCCCAGGGGTTCAAGACTGGCCGGGGACAACTTAGCGAGACCTCATCTCTAAAATAAATCAAAAAATTAGCTGGGTGTGATGGCGCATGCCTACAGTTCCCGCTACTGGAGAGGCTGAGGTGGAAGGATTGCCAGAGCCCAGCTGCGCGAGACCGTGGTGACCCAAGCATGTCACTGCCCTCCAGCCCAGGCGACAGAGTGAGACCCCGACTCAAACAAACAAATAAAGACCAGAAATGCCTGGCTGTGCTTGGCTGGTAACCATCAGGAGCCCTGGGTGGCAGAGGCCGGCCTCCTGGCTGGGTCAGCCCGCAGCACCTCTGCTCCCTGTGGGCGAGCCAGCATTGAGCGCTGCCTCGAACCCGGGGATGGTGACAGGAAGGACGATGTAAGCTGAGGCCCTCAAGGCCAGCTCCGGGTTGGCAGGGCCGCAGCTCCAAAGGGCCCACAAGTTGGCCGCCTGCCGCAGTCCCAGGAGCTCCATCTGAGCGGGTGAAGGTGGATACGGGGCCAGTTCTTCTCTGAGCGGGTGGTGGCAGGAGGTGCGGTCAGGCCAGTCTGTGGGCCATCGAATGGTGAAGCTTTCGATGCAACAAACCATAAAACTGAGAGACTGAACCACATGGTCTCCGAGAACCAGGCCGGATGCAGCAGCCCACGCCTGCAATCCCAGCACTTTGGGAGGCTGAGGCGAGAGGATCGCTTGAGCCCAGGAGTTCGAGACCAGCCCGGGCAACTTAGTGAGACCTCATCTCTACAAAATTTTTAAAAAATTAGCCAGGCATGGTGGCCCACCCGTAGTCCCAGATATTCTGGAGGCTGACGCGGGAGGATCGCTTGAGCCCAAGAAGGCGAGGCCACAATGAGCGATGATCACTCCAGCTGGGGTGACAGAGCAAAGTTCTGTCTCATAAAGAAAAAACGATCTCTGGGATCCTTTCCCATTTTGACCCAGAGACACAGGCTCCTAACGTGACACTTCTGGCACCGGAGGGGGCCGAGGGAGCCAATTCTGGCAGGGACACAGCGGGGGAGGAGTTGACATCCGCAGCGCCCCACTCACAGCACGGGGGCCGCGGCGCCATCTGCCTGGGCACGGGGTGGGCCTGAGGCCAAGCGTCACGAGTGCCCACGCAGACGCTGCCATCACCAGGGAGGCTGACCCACAAAAAGCCCACATCCGTGGGCAGCTGGGCACCGGGCGCTGCGGACACTCAGGCTCAGGGCCAGCCAGGAACCTGGAGGCCAAACACACCGGACCCCTCCCCCCCCGGCAAACTATCTTCGAGGGCTCCTGCCTGCAGCCGCGGCCTCCACAGGCTCCGACAGGCAAGGCTGAGGCCACCATCCTCACTACATTTTTCGGGTCAGTGGAGGACAAGAGGCAGCTGCCTCCCAGCTGGTGTCTGGTCTTCCCTGCCCACGGCCAGGACACTGCTGTCGGAGCAAGCTTCCCAGGAGCATGCCATCAGCACCTGCCTCTGCACCAGAACCTTCCAGACCCGTGACCCAAGGAACAAGATCCCCACCCTTGTCACTGTAGCCTCCAGCATGGCCAGAGGCTCTACTTGAACCTGGGCAAACCTCTGCTCCTGAAGCTGCTCTGGTGTCCCCCACCCCACACCCCGCCCCCACACCTCCCTGACGCCTCAAGGTCCACTCAAGCACCTCCCCCAGCGCTTCCTCCAGCCCCCGAGTGCCCACCGCCCACCTCGGTGCTCAACCCAGCCTGTCTGAGGTCTGCCGCCCCCAAGGCCCATCCTTCCCGCTCTTACGCCTAAAGCCGAGCCCCCCCCCGATCTTTCCCGGTGCCCCTTAAGCACGGACATGGGGAACGGGAGCTGGCGGGAGACCTCCAGGCACTGGGGTCCTGAATCCCACGCTCCCAGGGGCCCCTCGAGGAAACCCAGGGCAGAAACATCAGTCCTGGGAGAGAGAAAGAAGCCAAGTGGGGGACCCGGTCTGCGCACACACAACTGTGTGTCCAGCCCTGCTGGGGCGGAGGGGACAGCAGCCCCAGGGGGCTTCCCAGCAGCGCCCACCCACGAGACGAGGCTTGCGGCAGACCACCTGGCAAGGATGCAAGGGCACCTGGTGGGGGGTGGGGGCACGGCTGGGAGGTCCAAGGGCCATCCCCTGTCCCTGCAGTATCTTCCCCATAGGCCTGTCACCTGGCCCCCAGGAGACGGTGGTCTCCCTGAAGTGATTACACACGTGCTTCTTCAGAGGAGACCCCTGCCGTGGCCCTCGGGTGCCAGCAGTCTGGGTTTCACCTCTGGTTTTGTTGTTGTTATTGTTGTTTGGTTTTGAGTCACAGCCTCACTCTTGCCCAGGCTGGAGTGCGGAGGCACGATTACGGCTACCACCACCTCCACCTCCCGTGCTCAAGCAATCCTCCCTCCTCAGTTTCCCAAGTAGCTGGGATGACAGGTGCGTACCACCACACCTGGCTAATTGTGTGTGTGTGTGCGTGTGTGTGTGTGTGTGTGTGTGTGTGTGTGTAGAGACAAGGTCTCGCTACATTGCCCAGGCTAGTCTTGAACTCCTGGGCTCCAGCAATCCTCCCACCTTGGCCTCTCAAAGTGCTGGGATGACAGGTGTGAGCCACCACGCTGGCCTCTCTAGAGTTTTGATGACCACCAGAACAGGTGCTTCATCCCAGGCAACACTTCCTCCAGAGACTCCTGGTTCAGGAACCCAGGGCCCACACCCCACTGTTCTTGGCAGCAAGACTACTGACACTGAACCTCTGGAAGCCTCGGTTACCCACCTGGCAAAGGGGAGGAGGAGCCCTCCACCTAAGGATAGAAACAGTCCGTGAAAGCAGACGCACAAATGCTAACAAGTGTGTCAAGGCAAATGTCTCATAAAACACAGCGCAAGTGCTCTTGACCCAGCGTTTGCTGTCAGAGAAGGTCAGGGAGCGGCCAGTGACAGGGCAAGGAGGGGCCTTGCCACGACATACCCGCCAGGGCCTGTCCAGCCCCGCACACACGCTTTGCCTCTTCAAAGGGCAAACAGCAGTCCGTTGCGGCGTGGGTTTCGTCTCACCGGTGAGCAAAGACACGCACGGGAAAACAACACACTCTTATTTTTAGCCTACCGGCTGGACAGAATAGAAACAACACTCTTCCTCACGGCTTGTCTTTGCTATCAACTTTCTAGAGGAGGTTTCGAAATGTGGATCAAAGGCTCGAGGGGTCAGGTGTGATGGCTCACGCCTGTCATCCCAGTGCCCTGGGAGGCCGAGGCAGGAGAACCGCTTGAAGCCAGGAGGTTGAGGCTGCTAGGAACAAACTGCAAGGCCTGACTTCCTGCGAGGGCTCTCATGGGGGCTCATCCGTGCCCCTCGGCCACCCAAAGCACAAGTCACCCAGCGAGAACTCCCAGCCAAGCCCGGCCATGCATCTGCACCTGAGGCTTCCACTTCCACTGTGCCTGGGTAAATGGGGCTGGGTAGAGATCAAGGTGGGGAGGCAACGATAGCTGGGGGCGGTTTCTGCCCAACTTGTGGGAGGATGGGCCTCGTGTTCCCAGGAGATGCTGGAAATCCAGGCTTCTACTGTTTAACTTCCCAATTCTTAAGTGCTGTCCATTAACTCAAGCTTGAAACGCAGCACACTGGGGGCTGGAGGCCGCCTGTGGGCAGCCCCGGCTTGGATCATCTTGCTCGACCCTGGCACAAGTCCCATGAGGGGGGCAGGCAACGTGTGTCGTCAGCCATCACAATAGAGGAAACTGAGGCACGTGTGGGAAGTTGGTTCCCGGCCAGCTGCTGGTGAAGGCAAGCTGGAGCCCAGGAGCCTGACTGCCAGTCCCGTGCTCTGGATCCTGTCCCAGGAGTCAGCGGCACATGGCACACCTTGGGGTCGCCCATCTCGGGGCACAGGGCCAGCCACCTTCTCGGTCTCCTGGCCTCACGCACCACTGACCTGTGGGAGGCCCAGGGGTGCGGTTCCAGGGCCTGCCAGCCACCACCCACCTCCCGCCCACAGGCAGAGTGCACGGCAGGAGCACATGCTGCGCTCACTGAGATTCCAGGATAGCCGTGAGTGGGCCCACTTGGAAGAACAAGGAGAGGTTCATTCACAGGCGGCAGCAGCGCACCGGGGGAGGATCAGCACGGCATGGCGCATTTGCATTCCCCACCCCCGGCTGGCGGAAAGGCAGCCTGCTGCTGGCGGGGCCCCAGGGGCTGAGAAGCTTCTGGATTGTCCCAGGGAAGGGGGAGGCAGCGCCTTTGGGTCTGGGAGGGCATCGCTGGCAGCCCACTGGAGGTCCTCAAGACCAGGACGCCCACGGGAGCGACCTGGGGTCCCTCACGCCGCATCCCCCTTGGAGGGGATAGCCGGGCCTCGGAAGACAGGCTCCAGAAAGCAGGGAGCAGATCCAAGGCCAGTGTGAGCCAGGGAGCCCCCGACTGGCCTATTCCATCCAAGACCTCCGAGGTCTGCAGGGGACCCTGGGGGGTGCGGGGAAGGCATCTCAGCAAGGGTAGATTGCGTTTCCCACAGCTGGATATGGTTAGTCACAATCTTTAATTAAGAGGAAGTCACAGAACAGGCCGCTGCTTTCACACATGCCAAGCTTGTGACTTCAAGTGCCCAACTGTGCTTCTGTCCGTCCTCGGCAAGTCACTTTTGGGTGCCTTGCAGCCAGCAGAGAGCACGTTCCTTGATCTAGCCATTCTATTTTCATCTGTTGGGTTTTTCTTTCTTTTTTTTTCTTTCTGAGTTGGGGTCTCACTCTGTCACCCAGGCTGGAGTGCAGTGGCATGATCACAGCTCGCAGCAGCCTCGACCTCCTGGGCTCAGGTGATCTTTCGGCCTCAGCCGCCCAAGCACCTGAGACGACAGGCATGCACCACCACGCCCGGCCAATTCATTTTTTGCAGAGATGAGGTCTTGCCGTGTTGCCTAGACTGGTCTCAAGCTCCCGCGCTCAAGCGATTCTCCTGCCTCGGCCTCCCAGAGTGCTGGGACGACAGCCAGGAGCCACTGTGCTGGCCCAGCCATTCTGTTTTTATCTTACTACACTGGATAGACATCATATGCATTTTATTACATCATATCCTATTTGTTGAATAGCCAGGTGCTGAGGTTCAAAGGGAAACAAACCAGCAAGGTCCCGGCCCCTCTGACACCTAACTTCTACTAGAGGGAGACAGACAGGAAGACAATAAGCTTAGAGGTGACAGTGCCATGCCGAAAGGTGAGACAGTGCTGCTGAAAAAGAAAGGGAGGAGGAGGGAGGGATGCCGTCCACATGCCACATGCCACATGCCACACGGGGTGGGGAGAGCCTCTCGGGAAGGAGACTCGTGAAAGGGACAGGAAGGGGAGGCGGGACGGAGATGCCCAGCACTCGCAGGTGCCAAGGCCCGGGGAGGGTGGGCGTCCTTGGCCACCCAGGGCCAAGCGTCTGGGTGGGTGGAGGTTGTGGCTCTAGCTCACAGGAGCAACACGTCCTTTCTGGGGTCCCTTG